GTCCAAGGCTTCCAGATTGGTCGAGGCTCGACGTGCAAATCAGTCCGCAGGACACGCGCAGCCTCGACCCAAGCGCGGTGACACGCGAGTTGCGAAAACTGCACTTGCGGTGGTTCCACGCCCAGGAGCTTAAGATAGGCTGAACCTGATAAACAGGTGCATGTGATACATGTCGGGGGCGCACGGCGTGGGGCAAGCCAGGGCATGCCGTCATGCCGTCTACTACACTTCTTGGCGAGCTTGACGGTGAAGTCAAATGCGATCTGATATTCTACAATCAGGGACACAATCTATTCCATATTATCGACCGTTGCATTAGATTTGGTGCTGGACTCGAGATACCAGATAAGAGTATGACCAGCACCTCAGATGCGTATGATCAGTGCTGGATGCAATTCGGGCCTGCCACAGTACTCTACTCCGAGTGGGAAGGTGCATTAAACAGCGACACCTCAAAACGCAGTCCTGAAGGCAGAAGGCGCTGAGCTGAGGACGCGTGCGCGTGGACAACGCGCGACGACAATTGAAGCCAGGAGTGGCATATTACGACAATTTCTTCACCTCGTGGAAGCTGAACTCAACAGGTTAGACATGCCTCTTCTGTTCACACGTCTACTGCATGAAGCCTTATTTGCCGCCAGCGCGCTCACCCTTTACAGTGAGGTGCCTCCATGCAACGCCCTGCTTGGGCGGCAACCAGCGATGCTGCCCGACCTGCCTGTTCTGGATCGACAGCAGCACGCGGAAATATCCGTGCACTCTCGAGAACAGACTATTCGCCGGTAAGCATTGAGGCGATTGTTCAAGCCGCTGCAGTAGCGCCAACAAATGATGCATTACGGACCAAGACTGCTAGAATTGGTCAACATTGCTATGACGAAGGAGATCTGGTTGACAATCATCGTCCCACTACTGCAAAGGACGACTGGGGCGGCTGGAATGGACCATTCCCGGTCGTACGAAAAGATCCCGACAGGGGCCAAGTTATCACGGGAGTGGGGAATCGCGACGCACAGGTCCAGTGCGGCGACGCACGACATTCACTGTAGATCGAAGTTTTGATCGCTCGAGAAATTAGCTCGGACAACGCAGCGTCGCAGCTTTGTTGACATTCGTGGCCGGTTTACCTGCGGGGCGACTTGCTATGACATTTGGTTGCGCCCCGACAAAAAAAAGGGAATGCCCCAGATGTCAAAGCGCGCGCCGACTATCTCCTAATTTTCATTTAGCTTTCGAATACCTCATTAGGAATTTCTTTCGCATCGAGAACGTAGTCTCTGTCAGGCCACCTCAGAGTTTTCACGAGCTACCTCAGGTGGCTTGTGCTGACAGCTGTACATTGGCGCGCTGCGACAAAGACGTGAACCGAGGCTTCCACTTACGAAGCCGAAGGCACTGCGCCTGCAGCCCACCAAACCTCACGCGGGCTTCGACCAATATGTGACGAAATTTGAAGGACTCGCTGACGCACCGACGCAGGGCAACGACGCCAGAGGAGCTCCAGAAGCCGAACCACCACAGGAAGACGGGTGGGTTCCCATTATTCATACGAAATCAGAAGCGGACCTCGAGGCGCATGCTATGGAGGTGCGGCATGCAGAACCGCAGGAGGAAAGAGAAAGAGAACTACTGAAGGCAACTCCAATAGACGACCTCTACACTGCACCCGCACAAATGATCACCGACAGCAGCCCGCTGGTCGCAGTAGCTGAGGAACAGCGGGGTCACCTGCCTACGTGGGGTACCCCACGTGATATAAACACAATAGAGACATATCATGTCCCACTGTGCGCCACGGACGAAGGCGACAGTTATGGATTAGACTCTGACGAGCGCGGACAATATGTAGAACTCTGGTTCGCTGCAGACATGTCAGGGGTAGTCCTATCCGAACAACAGCACAGGATTCTGGACTTCGACCGCGCGGCCACTATGCGAGTAGATGTGACCGCTGCAGCGAAACGACCTGTAGTCGTCGAGGAGAACGACCTCCTCACGAAGGCCGACATCCATGCGAATCCAGTCGAGGTATCTAAAGCCTTGCACACTGAACTCAAGACATGGTTTGGCAATAAGTGCTTTCACATACAAGATATATCACAGGCGTCAAACATCATGACTTCGAGGCACGTAAACATAGAACTTTGTCAAGAACAAGAAGGGCGAGATGGAACGTGCCCTCAGACTACGCTTGGTCCCTCGGGAATTCACGGGCCTCGAAGCCTTCGATGCGGAGACCTTCTCAGGAACGGCGCGGCGGTAAAGTCAGGGGGTGCTCGCGAGCACGGCAGCGTGCAAGGAGCAATTGGCAATTGCTTCCCTAGATACCAACATGGCTTTCATGAGAGGGCCCACGTATCAGGAACTTGCTGAAGCAACCGGTGAGAAGGAACGTGTAGTGTGTTCTACTGTGCCGCCTCGGTCGGCATCTGTGCTTAGATCCCTTTCAGGATTTGAGCACTACGATTCGTCGAAACATTGCTTGCAGCGCCTCAAACCAGGCACCGGCACTGAGGACGCACCAATGGCCTTCTCACTGAAGCTCAGACAGACCACGAGAAGCTCTGACCTTCTGACAGACAAGCATGTTGATGACATTAACATGGGCGGTACTCAGGACACTATCGGCAGTTACGTCAAGTGCGTTGAGGATACGGCTGGCAACGTTACACTTGATAAAGACGAATATATACATATATATATACACATATATATATGTATATAAAACAGTTCCGTCCTATACAACATCCTGAACTCACCGGCGCAGACGCTGACGCCAAGGCATCGAAGATGGGCGCTGACGTGTTCGTCAGCCTCAAGGCGCCCTGGCTTACGCCCTAATCACACAGGCGCGATTAATGGTATATGTTGCATACCTACAGCGTGTCCAAGAAGCGGCCAACGTGCAAGTGCGACGACGGAGCGCGATTACCAGAACGTTGCAGGCTTGCTCTAAGAAGATCGTCTACCAAGCGATGACTCCAACGGGCGAGGTCGACCTGCGCAGCGACTCTGGTTACCGGCGTCTAAGCGTAGATGCCGAGGACGAGGTCAAAGGCTATGGTATTTGCGGGGCAAACCTGCTACGGCGTGGTCGCACCCACGCTGGCAAGCCCGTCGTCCATCTTGTTGACGCGCGCTGCAAGTCTCACCGCTTGCAGGCCCGCTCGAGCTACTTAGCGGAAACACTTGCATCATCCCGCCACTTGGAGGACTGCTATCCCGCGATCGTAACTCTGCACGAACTCCACGCAGGGCCGATGACACCCATTCAGTTGATATATACACCGCCGTGACAAAATATTATGCGGTTTTATGATATGGTGGAATCTCCTATGCCTCTGAAGATTCCTAACATTGACATGCGTCCTCCGCGATCCCGCGGAGTAATTCGTCTACTTCTAATTAATAACATTGCTATCTCAAAACAGGATCGGAAATTACTCCGCCCATTCCTGTATGAAAAACGGGACGGGATGCGTGTCCACGCGGAGTAATTTCTACTCCGCCCATTCCGTTTACTCTGCCAGTCTTGAGTCATGTTGACTGAAGACCGCATAATACTTTTGTCACGGCAATGTATACTTGAGATGGGCGGCCTTAGCATTAAGGTCACTTAGACAATCGATGCAGAATCTGTCTTCCAGTCCTTGTCAAGCAAAAACATGAAGAAGACGACCGAGTGTACACTTTTGGGACACATCAGTTGGATGCGACAGATGATGGAGCGAGGTATCGTGCATTGTGAGCACTGGTGTGACACTCGCGACATGGCCGCGGATGGCCACACCAAAGGGAACATCGACAGAGACATGCTCCTACAGGTCATGGGAGGAACGCGATCCTTCAAGCACGACTTTAAACAACACGCTTCATACAGGGTTGGTCAGACGATCGGACAAGATCGTCTGAGACGCCTGAGGAGCAATCGTCTGCAACGTGACTTGCCTGCGAGACAAATTGCTTGCAAGGGCACTTGCGTGCGGGTCAACCTTCATTGTTGAGCCCGCCTGCTGCTGCCGACCTTGTGCAAATAGCGTTTTACTGTATAGCGGGCGGCGGACTCACGCTTCGTCTCCTCCCCCTCGACCCTAAAGGAGGCTGGGGCAAAGGCGAAAGATAGCGAACGTTTGTCCGCGGCCGTTTGTGCTCAAGCGGCTGGCCGCCAACATATGACTGTGCCTCGTCGCGAGGCACACTACCTGCCATTGAGACCGAACACAGATTTGCTTGATATGGCCCGTCGCTCCTGCGGAGATCTCCTACTTCTGGGACTATCGCTACTACGGTACAGCAGAGTTGGATATGGGCTTCGCCTTCGGCGAAGCGTATGGCTGGGCCTCCCAGCTCACTTCAAACTGGGGGGAGGGAGGCGCGGAAAGTGGAATTTGCGGTCCGGGGGAGCAGGGCCCTGAAGTCGCTACGACGGGGTGGGGGGGGGGCCATGGGGGGGGGATGGGCAGGGGGTGTGAAGAGAGAGGTCCGCCCTTCCAGCACCCAGAGGAGAGAAAAGGTACCAGTGCCAATGCCGCTACCGTTTCCTCGTTTTCGCTTTTGTGGGGTTCCTGGCAGGCCCTCGTCGCCACCGCTGGATTCACTTCGAAATCCTGGTTAGAACACGCCCTGTGGAGGGGGGGGGGTATCGGTACCTTTTCACTTCCCCAGAAGAGAGGTCCGCCCTTCGGCACCTCCTGGAGCCGAAGGGAAGGGCAGCCGGGGTTTTCTTCGGGCCCATTTCCCTGGGCCGTGCCCGCAGCGTCAGCGTCCAGAGGACGATCGCGGACAGGAGCATGAACATGAGACTACGTTCGCAACAGCCGCCGCGCACAGTGTAGGGGACATCATTCGCCAGCCTGAGACGCTCCACAATACCTGAGCACCGTGCTTCGGGCGCAGGCCCGCATACCTTTGTGTATACATGTGCGGCTTCAAGGAGGAGAGGAGGAGGAGGAGGAGGAGGAGGAGGAGGAGGAAGTGGAGTTTCGATCGGTCGCCTCCAGGCCCTCGCCGTCAGCGACGCCGTTGCCGCACTCGTAGGCAACTCCGCCTGCCGCACCGGCCTCGGGAGGGCGTGCTGCCAAGGAACGGGGGATGATGATGATGATTATGATGATGATGTTGATGATGATGCTGATGAGGATGAGCACGAGGATGATGATGATGATGATGATGATGATGATGATGATGATGATGATGGTGATGGTGATGGTGATGGTGATGATGGTGCTGCTGCTGATGATGGTGATGATGCTGATGATGATGATTTCGCTTAAAAGTTATGCTTCTTATACTGGTGACGATGATGACGATGCTGCTGATGATGCTGCTGATGCTGATGCTGACGACGCTGATGATGATGATGATGCTGATGATGATGCTGATGATGGTGATGGTGATGATGATGTTGATGATGATGGTGACAATGAGGTTGATGATGGTTGGGATTATGAGGAGGTTAATTATGATGAGGATGAGGATGAGGATGAGGATGAGGATGAGGATGAGGATCATGATGACGGTGACGATGACGATGACGACGATGATGATGTTGATGTGATGATGATGATGATGATGATGATGATGATGATGATGATGGTGGTGATGGTGATGGTGATGGTGATGGTGATATGCCTGCTGTTACTGACAGCGATACTGATTATGAGTGTGATGAACATGAAGATGATGATGCAGATGATGGTGCTGACGATGATGATGATGATACTGATGATTATGATGATGCTGACGACTATGCTGCTGATGATGATGATGATGCTGATCATGCTCATGAGGCGGCTGCTGCTGCAGCTGATCATGATGACGATGATGATGAGTATGATGATGGTGATGCTGCTGATGATGATTATGATGATAAAGGTCATGATGATGATGATGATGATGATGATGATGATGATGATGATGATGATGATGATGATGATGATGATGATGGTGGCGATGGTGACGGTGATTGTGATTGTGGTGATGACGATGACGATGACGAGGAGGCGGAGGAGAAGGAGGAGGAGGAGGAAGAGGACGAGGAAGAGGAGATAGAGAGAGAGAGGAGGAGGAGGAGGAGGAGGAGGAGGAGGAGGAGGAGGAGGAGGAGGAGGAGGAGGAGGAGGAGGAGGCCGAGAGTAAATCGAAGGCCCAGATACACCCTCCCGCTCCAAGTCCCTTCCTCATGAGGATGCTATCATCTTCTTGCGTTCTAGCGCATTCCCAGCAAAGCAACCATGCATGAGGTAAAGTCATCTAGGTCAACGAGGTATCCAACGCGATTTCCGTTTTGAAAACGGGCTGCCCCCTTTACCGTGCGATTGTTGCGTACGTACGCGCTTCTGGCCATGAGCTTCGCGGAACTCTCAAGCAAGATCCCCATTTTGAAACGGAGCCGATCTCCATCTGTGTAATTGTTGCGCCTGAGTGAGGGGGCCGAACGGTCTTCCGCCATCCTTGGGTGCGTGATTGAAGCGTGATCCCGCGGCGCGGTTTCTGCTTGTTGCGTTGCGTTGAGTAGTTGTCGTCGTCCTCGCCCGCGACCCACCCGCGACCCGCCCGCGACCCGCCCGCGCCCCCTCACTCTCATCCGCGACTGCAGGGAACTTGGTGGCGGGCCGCCAGTTTGAACTTCCACTTAGTCTTCTGTGCGAGGTGCACCGAGCTCGTGCACCCGCGCGGCGCGAGTGGTGCGCCTCGCCCTCAGGAGCCCCACCGCAGCTTTGAGACTGCGAGTGCTGCTCGAGTTGGAGGGGCTCTGAACCCCAGCGCAGCCCGGAACGAAGTGCGACGTTGCCTCGGTTGCCGTTGGCGTTGGCGGCGGAGGGCGGCGGTGGAGGACCGCGAGGAGGCTTGCGACGACGAGTAACTCGCATAAGGACGGGGCAGGAAGGAGGAGGGAGGTGGACGAGTAATTCGGTTGAGAACGGGGCAGGACGGAGGAGGGAGGTGGGAGGTTGGAGGAGTTGGGAGGGAGGAGTTTGGACCGAGGGGGGCGCAGATGCTGAATGAGACAGGGAACTGCAAGGAGGCTGCGAGAAAAAAGGGGCAGATGGAGTGTCTAGGGGTAGGTGGGCCAGAAGGGAGGGGACGGGGCGCACGGGGATGAGGACGGATAGGGGGGTGCGGGGAAAGGGAGGGGAAGGGATGGAGGGAGGGAGGGGAGGGAGGGGGAGGGTGGGAAGGTAGAGGGAGCCAGGAGGAGACGTGTGCGGATTTCTTGGGGAGTCATTTCAGGGTCGTATGTGTCTTCCTGGGTCGTGCTCGCCCAGCTGGCATGCCTTGCTTCCGCCCCCGATCCTGACCCCCAGAGGTCCTCGGAGGGCTCCCCGAAGGCCCCCCGAGGACAGAGGATAACAGCAGCATAGAGAGGCCGTCTGGAAATCATCCTCTTCGATCTTCGAGGGTCGGAGGCATCATTTAGCTCCCCCCGTCCTCGCCCATGTCCTCGTTGCCGTCGTCGCCGCCGCCGCCGTCGTCCTCGTCCTCGTCCTCGCCGTTTTCCCTCGTCGCCGCCGTCCTCGCCGTCGTCCTCGCCGACGTCGCCCTCGTTGCTGCCGTCCGAGACGGCCCACGGTGTGTGTTGTTGAAATTCGTGGCCACAGAGCTCCCCCAGGAGCAGTTTTTTCTCCCCCGATCCCTGTGCGATGGCTCCATGGGCCCGAGATTGAAAACGCCGAGCTTGAAACCGCAATCCTTCGAAGCTCCGGGGTCGTCGCCGCCGCCGCCCTCGTCACCATCGTCGCCGCAGTCGCCGCCCTCGCCCTCGTCTTCGCTGTCCCTGTCCCCCGTCGCCGCCACCCTCGGCCTCGCCCTCAGTCCTCGTCGCCGCCGTCGACGTCTCCTGAGAGCCGACGTTGCGAACAGCCGACGTTGCGAACAGAATGCAAGATCGCGAACGATTCACGGCCGGAGCCTTAGACTCCATCTGCCCGTTTCCGCCCTTCTCGCCGTGGAGCGTTCCACCCTGCTCTATCTGCAGATGGCCGCAGCACGCCAGCCGATCCCAGGGCCTCGGGAGTGCAACGCGAGGAGGCAGGTGGCTCGTTGATCACCGGCTGGCCGCGTCCCTCTCCCCTCCTCCTCCCCCCCCCTCTCCCGCAGATCTGCCTGCGGCACTCGTCGAGCCAGAGTGATCTGCCCCGAGACCGCGCGGGGAAACGCCCGCTGTGAACAGCGTGCGCCGCCCAGACAGCCGCCGATGTGACCTTTGCACTCCGCGGCCCCAGAAGCCCCGACCGCCTCCCCAGTTCGGCTCCCCAGGGGCAGCTCGTTTCTCGCCTCCCCCCCCCCCCCCTCCCCTCCCCTCCCCCCCCCCCCCTCCCCTCCCCCCCCTCGCCCCTCCCGCACCCCCGCCCGTCCCCCCTCCCACGCCCCGCCCCCCCCCCCCTCCTCCCCCCGCGATGACGGCCTGCACGACTCCCATCGCCTCTGCCTCCTCCTCCGGCCCCCCCGCGCCGCTCCGCCGCCCTGCCCCGGCTTCGCCTCCGGCGCGCCCCGCCCGGCAGCCCGACCGGCGCGCGACGAGCACGGAATCGGCCCTCGGAATGCCGAGATTTCGGGGCGGGGATCTGCCCAGCGCCACCGCCGGGGGGATCGATCCTCGCGGACCTCGGGAGCCTCGAGACGGGGGTCAATGCAAAGAGGGGTCAGCCAGGGCACCGGATCCTGCAGGATCCTGCGAAGACCTCCCCTGGCTGACCCGGGTCAGCGAGCCGCTCGTGGCCGCGAGGCGGCCGCGCATATTGGCTGACCCGGGTTTGCGAAGACCTGCGCTGCAGTTTTTTTTTCCTGCATTGCAGTTTTTGGTTTCCTGCTGACCCGGGTCTGGATTGACCCAGGTCAGAAGATCCTCGCGGACCTCCACAGGCGGTGGGTATGGACATGTTAGGGCCCCCGGATGCCAAAATGTATCCACATCCACCGCCCGCCGGGGCACCAGGACGTCTTTTCCCAGGCGGTGGATGTGAGAGGTCGAGGAAAACCGATGGAGACCCGGGGACGTCGTCCCCAGACATGGGCGTGGGCCCTCACAAGGCTTCCCTGGGGCAGTTCTTCGTCCCGAGTCGGCTGTGGCGGTCCCGGGGCCTGGCGAGGGCCTCCGCAGGTCGAAAATAGTCCAACCTGGCCGCTCAGTTGTTTCCGGAGCCTCGGATCTCTGGGTCCTCTGCCAGCCTGGAACATAGGTCCCTTTCCTTATGATTGGCATCACCTTCTCTCGGTGCCGATCTTACGGGTTCCCTCAGTTTCTGAGGGCGCCTCGATAAGACTGGCATCGCCTTCTGGCTTGTCAATGTTAGGGGCAGGGAGGAGTTCGTGGCTGGTTTAGTCCTTGTGCTCTTCCTCGTCGTCCTCCCCTCGCCCCCCGCGCCCGCCGCCGCCGCCCAGCGCCGGTGGACGGCAGCGCCGCGGCCCCGCGCGCGACGCCGCGCGGCGACCGGGGAGTGGCCGAGGCCAGCGCGGGTTCGCGCGCGCGCCGGGGCGATCCCGCCTGGGAGCGTGTGCAGATCAACCCAGACATGACCGCGTCGTGCAGAAATCACGACGGGAGGTTGTTGGCCATCTTCGGCCTCTGGGGGCCCTCGCCGGGCGTCGGGACCGCCAATACGCGACTCAGGATGAGAAACCGGTCCCGTGGAGAGTCAGCCACGCGCAGAAGGGGGGTGGGGGGAGGGGGGAGGGCTTCTCAGAAGCAGCCTCCCTCTAAGGAGCCTTCCCCCCTCCCTCCACGGCTCGGGACTTCCAGGGGCCGCGCAGCGAACAAGCCAGGACCTCGCAGGTCTGGGGGTCGGAGGCGGCGACATCGGGGCGAGCAGCCCAGGGGCGGGCCCTGCGGGGGTCCCAGCGGAAATTACGAGATCATGGCGAAAGTTTCCCGCCGATTTTTCGGGGCTGGACAGAACCCCCAACAGTGACACGTCGATTAGTGAATTGTCCGTTTTCGGCTCTCGAGAGGGCGCCGTGGCCGTTATTTTCCAGGCTTGCGCCCGCCGGGTTTGGGCCCGAGGTCGTTTTCACTAAACCACGTTTTGCTAAAGGGGGTTCTGTCCATCCCCGAATTTTGGTGGGCGGCTGGGTTCCTGGGCTCCTGGGTTCCTGGGTTCCCCGTTCCTGGGTTCCTGGTTCCTGGTGTAATGCATTGTTCTCCTCTGGGCTATTCGCACCCCTCGTCGCCCGAGGAGGAGGGGCAACGTTACGGGGGATCGGTCGGGAACTTTGGCTCAGCGTGTGTCGCGATGCCGTCTCTGGCCTCTGGCCCACCACCATTCGGCGCCACACGCTGTCCACGTCCCCATCTCCCAAGCGTCAGCGTCCTGCGCTTTTCCCAGCCTCCCGCCCCGCGGAGCAGAGCGACGCGCGATCCACTCGCAGGGCAGCCTGCCGCCGGGGCCGCCGTGGCGACACGCTGAGCAAAAGTCCCCGACCGTAGGGATATCTGGACGCCCGACATGGGTACGGAAAGAATGGGTACAATGCCCAACAGCAGTTCCTCTTCATTTCGAGCCGGACTCGCTGTCGGTGTCGCCGCGGCCCGTGTCCATTTGAGACAGAAGGCCGCCTGCCCCACAGCGGCCGCTGTTGGTTTGGGACAACATTTGTTGTTGGGCATTGTGCCAGTTTCTCCCGTACCCATTTCGGGCGTCCAACTCCCTCCCCCCTCCTCCAACGAATGACCTGGTTTCTCGTCGAAAAAGCAGAAGCCAAGCCGAAGAACAACTCAGAGGAGGAAGAGGCACTCGTTACCCATGTCGGGCGTCCAAAGGGTAGGGGTCCGGGGCTCGAGGTTCGTGGCCTTCCGGGCGGCCTCGCCGGTTCTCGGCGGCTCCTCTCCGCCTCGAGGGATGCCCTCCAGCAGCTGCGCCCTGCCGAGGGTGCCCGGATCGTCCCGAACGGCCGCCGGAGGCCCGACTTGGTGGACCGAGAGCCCGCAGGGGCAACGTGCGCTCGCGCGTCGACGCGGCAAAGGTCACGGCAGAAGGCCTTCGGGCGTGGTGCTGCCTCCGGGGGGGGCCCTCGCTCGGCCCCGGGCACCGTCAGAGAACGCTTCGGGATGTCAACCGGGCCCGGGGGAGAGGGTCGGGACTTCCAGGGGGATCCCGTATGGAAAAGGCCGGGCACTGTCTAAGGAGAAGAGGATGAGATCTGAACTGCCGCTTCGGTTGGTTTCCGAGGCTGGAGTCTGCAAGAATGGTGAAGCACGAGGCGGGCTGATTTTCGAGGTGCGAAGCCCATGTGGATGTCTCCCTGAGCCCTCCACCCCGAGAAATGCTCAGAAGATGTCGGACGTCTGGATGGAACTTCGGGGGCCTCAGTGGGTGGTTCCAGGGGGCCTCTGCGACCCCCCCCCACCTATTGCGTGTCCTGTTCTGTCGGGGGCCTCTTTTTGAGGGGGGGCCTTTGGGTCCTGCTGGAGGGTGTTTTGCCCAGTGGTGCAGCAGTGGGAGGGGGGCTGTGGTGTGGCGCTGGTGCCCGTGAGGGAGGGCCTCGTCCTGTCGATGCCGGTCGGGGCTCATGGCCTCGCCCATCCTTGGAGGTCGGTGCTCGTTCAGGCTGGGAGCATCCACGGAGAGGGAGGAATATACATAGGAGAGGAGGAGGAGGAGGAGGAGGAGGAGGAGGAGGAGGAGGAGGAGGAGGAGGAGGAGGAGGACCAGTGCAAACCCAAGACGTATCACCGGCGTCTCAATACACCCTCCCTCCAAGTTCCACCTTCATTGGTCCATACAGTAGTGTATCTTCAATGCGGGAGAGCGCCCCATTGTAAGGCAACCGTCTGAGAATCCCCCATCGTGCCCGAACACCACTCCTAGGACTTCAGCGCCGCGAATCAATGAGACTAGAGCGTCATGGCATTTCTTGATCGCGTCAGAACATCATTCCTGGGACTAGAACACCGCGAATAAAGGTGACTGTTGCGTCCTGGCCGTATTCAATAGCGCCGGAACGTTACTTCCTGGGGCTTCAGCCATTCGAAGCCTTGAAGCTGCTGCAAACTGTTAAGACGAATGTGCACGGCGCCAGGGCGAGAGCCACATTTCGAAAACGGGCCACCCTCCCTCTTTGAAGCTGCTGCAGGCTTTTAAGACGAATGCGCGCGGCGCTGAGGCGAGAGCCGTATGTTGAAAGCAGGCCGCCCGCCATACTTGAAACCGGTGTTATTTTCAAGCTTCAGGGTCATGAGCGGTGAGAAAGTCTAAGGCGGAACGCCTGGCCCGCCCTACCAACACGTCTGGGGGTGCGACAGGGAGGAGTTATTCATAAGGAAAAGGGAGGGAGGATGAGGAGGAGGAGGAGAAGGAGAAGGGGAAAGGGAATGAGAAGAAGGAGGATGAGGTGGAGGTAGGAGGAGGCAAGAGGAGGGAGGCAGGAGGAGGAAGAGGCAGGAGGAGGAGGAGGAGGAGGAGGAGGAGGAGGCGGCAGCTGATTCGCACACGCGTGTGGCGGTGCCCCAATCGTATTTTGCTTGGAGGCGGCTTTGAGAGAGAGAGCCCCGAGGCTGATCCAAGCTGTCTGGCTTGTTGTGGTCTTGGCGAGGGGGGATGCGCAGCGTAGCGTAGAGAGGGCCGGGGGAGGAGGAGGACGGAGGAGACAGGAGAAGTCTAGACCTCACAGGTGGGGTCGGAGTAGATTGGGTCGGAGGATCGCGCCGCATCTAAAATTGGTCGGCGATGCGGCTCGATGTGGAGCCCGATTTTCTCCACGCCGACGGCGCCGATGCATCGCCGACGTC